CAAACGTTTCGATTGAGAGTTCAATCTTCATCAGTGGATACAAACATTAATTAAATTAATTAAAATTACATAAACAAAAACAAATTTGAGCAGAAAACTTTAACATAGGGATATTCTTCCCGTTTTTAATTTTATATAATCTATATACAGACGATAATAAAATAACTTAAACTTAAACTGTAGTTTGGCAATCATACTATATTTATATACTGTTTTTCTATTCTTTTCTTGCCTAGGCAATTCTTACATTACTATAAGAGTACATAATTTAAAAGGAATGATCTAAGAAAGAAAGGAAGAAACAAAGTAAGGAGAATTTTATATAGGATATATATATGTCAAGACGACCTGTTTTGTTTTTATTTTTTCCCTTCTTTTCTCCCCCCTTTACCACGCAACGTTACAATTAAATTCATATACCATCAAATTAAAAATAACATTTAATAAAACCGTCGGATCGATGAAAACCTTTTGAAAAGTCAACGTTTGAATTATAAAGCATCCCCCAAAACGTAAATCAATCGTAATAATTAAGACTCAGTCAGAAAGTTCCTGTAAAGCCAATTGTTGCATTTTAGCTGAAGCCTTTTCAGCAGCTTTCCGTATTGGACGATGTTGAACTAAACATTCGTTTTTGTCGACGTTAATTTCCGTTGGTTCATCAATAATATCGAACTTTTCGTCGCATTCCAACGGATACAGATGCATAAGTGCACGCGTTAAAACCGTGCCCGATAGTAAAATAACTTTGGCCGATCGGACTTGTTCATCTGAACTTTTAATAATTTTAATGACACGAGCTAATTGCCATGAGCCGCGAGGTCCATCGTTTCGAACATGGACGACGTCTCCGACCTTTGGTATTTCAATCGAACGACAGTGCGGCTGCCTCAAAAATCGTTGCGTACGTTCACGTAAATTAAGTAAATAATCGTTGCGCCACACAGTCCAAAACTGTTCTATATGACGTTGACCTCTTTTCCAATTTTGTAAAAGTCGATCCTTCGACGTTATGTTTTGGATGTACTCTTCATCCTGCAATTCCGTAATCTCTGTAGCAGGTGTACCGACTTTATAATTTAACGAAAGAAAATGTGCCGGCGTTAATACATAACCAGATGCAAAATCCGCTCCGACGTAAACTAAAGGTCACGAATTTATGACCGCTTCAATTTCCGTAATAATCGTTTGTAGTTGAATAAATACAAGGCACACCTTTCCGATCGTTTTCCGTAAACTTTGTTTTACTAATCGAACCAAACGTTCATAAAAACCGCCCATCCAGGGAGCGCATTCGATAATAAACGACCACATAATATTCTCATTGCTGACGTAACTAATGACGTTTTCATGCGTAATAACCTTTTTCCATAGCTCGACAACCGAGCTGACGAGCTTGAACTGTGGAGCATTGTCTGAAATAATTTTCGATGGTTTACCGCGTCGAGCAATAAAACGTCGTAAACACAATAAAAATTGATCCGCTGACATATCGTCGACGAGTTCTAAATGAATCGCTCTAGTCGAAAGACATGTAAAAAGACAAATCCATACTTTCTTTGTTGTTGTTCTTCCATTTTCTTTAATATACAGTGGTCCCAAATAATCCAGACCTGTAAATGTAAACGGTGCTGATTCTGATACGCGCGCTTTAGGTAACGCGGGCATCTCCGGCATTTTATATGGACCACCATCAAATTTCTTGCATCGAAGACAACGTTTAACAATTTTAAATACTTCCGACCGTCCCGACGGGATCCAAAACTCGTTTCGAATTTGCGCTAACGTATGCGCAACGCCAACGTGCAATAATTTTTGATGATAATTTTGAATAATAAGTGTCGTAAAATAATCCTTTTTCGGGAGCAACTTCGGAAACATAGCATTTTCCGAAAGTTTCGCATTTACTAAACGACCACCGCAACGTAAAATTCCGTTTTTGTCTAACCAAAGACCTAATTGTTCTGTTAGCGGATGGCGTTGATTTCGTTCAATAGCTAATAAGACGCTGGAAAAATATTTCTTCTGAACAAATTTAATCCAAACATCTTTCGATTGTTCTAATTCTTCCGACGCTAAATACTTTGATGTAACTTTGTTTTGTTTCAGTCTATTTATAAATCGCATACACCATGCTGTAATTCGGATTAATTTTGTTAAAGACGAATACCTTGTTTGATCAATTTCGAATGGCATAGTGAAGCTACCGAGATCCGCGCCGGTGACCTCCGGAGCGAGAACAGAAGTTTCGAAAAACACTTTCAAAACCTTTTCTTCGGACGTTATTTGATCAATAACAGTGGCGTCGACGGACTTCGACAAAAAACTCATCGAAGGCCAAGCGTGATCGCCGCCGGCCAACCAATGCGGTCCGTGCCACCAAATTTCGAGCGTAAATAATTCGGTAGCTGACTTGCCGCGCGAGGCCAAATCAGCTGGATTACAATCAGTCGAAACGTAACGGTAATTAACGTTCGAAAATTTTTTGATGTCAGTAATACGATTCGTAACGAAAACCGATAAGGTCTTCGTAGAATGAAGCCAATGAAGAACGCACTGCGAATCTGTCCATAAATATTTTTCATCGACTGGAAACGGTAAACTATCGGCGACGAATTTTAAGCACCGACTGCCGATGTGAACCGCTAATAATTCAAGCCGAGGCATCGTAATAATTTTTGTGGGCGCCAAACGTGACTTTGCAAAAAGTAAGTTTGTAAGGATCGACGTATCAGTGATGCAACGTAAATAAACGCACGTACCATAAGCCTTCTGCGACGCATCGCAAAAGCAATGTAATTCATATTTAATAGCGACGTTCGCTGCCGTTAAACCAATAAATCGCGGAAAAGACAGATTCGAAATTGGCCTAATTTGCGTAAGAATAAAATTCCATTCTATGCTTTGCGCTGATGATAAAGCGTCGTCCCAATCTAATTTGTCGACCCAAAGCTGTTGTAAAAATAATTTGGCAGGTAATACTGCCGGGCAAAATAATCCCAACGGGTCAAAAATCGAAGCAATAAATTTTATTACCGTACGTTTCGTAATAATCTCAAATTCGGTCGGATTAGCAGATGTCGAAATCGACAATAAATCCAGTTCAGTATTCCACGGAATACCTAATACTTTCGTAACAGTTCCGTGTGTGCGATCATGTGCCGGTAAATAGTCAATAAGTTTCTCCGAGTTAGACGTCCATTCGCAAACATTCATCGACGCTGTTTTAAACAGTTCCTTCGTTTTTTCATAAAATATAATGGCTTGATCGACGGAATCTGTTCCCGTAATAATATTATCGACGTAAATATTTTTTAATATATTCGATGCAATGTCACTGCCATCCTTTCGTAAATGATATGTAATAGTTGCCGCTAATAAAAATGGACTCGAAATAATACCGAATGGAACACGTGTAAATCGATAAATTTGTAAATTATTGTCCGACGTTAAAATCGTCGGATCCTTCAACCATAAAAAGCGTGTAACATCTCGGTCGGCGTCCTGTAAGCCGACTTGCAGAAACGCCTTTTCAATATCAGCAACCATCGCAATTTCGTTTAGACGAAATCGAATTAATAATTGGCAGACGTCTTCTAACATAACTGGTCCACGATGGAGACATTCGTTAATACTTTTATTTTCTTTTTTCGATTTCGCGGAGCCGTCGTAAACAATACGTAATTTTGTAGTCGACTTGTCGGGCGTAATTACCGCGTGATGTGGAATATAATGCTTTTTTGTTTCGGTGTTAAATTGATCGTCGACCTTTTCGATGATACCTTTTTCGAGCTGGGTATTGATCACCGCATGATACTGTGCGAAAAATTGCGGTTGATCCTTGTAACGGCGTAATTGCGATTTTAACCGACCGAGCGATAATTGATAATTTGTTGGCAAAATAACGTCTGGATCCTTCCACGGCCACTTAACATAATAGCGCTTGTTTTTATAATGTATCGTATCGTTAAATACCTGCAAGGCATTTTCGTCACTCGTATCGTCGATTCGATCCTTGATCCCGATCGTCTCGAGATCCCATAAATGTTTAAAATCGAATTTGTCAGCCAACTGAGTATCGGCCGGAACAAATGGTAGCTTTGCCATTTGACATGGTTGCGAATACGTAAATAATACGGTTGACGGTAATTTTTTCATCCAATCGGGGCCTCGATGGCGACCGCTGATGATCCTTCCCAATTTCGATCCAATTAAATATAATCCCGGCGCTAATTCTATTTTTTCGGACGTAATAATGTCCCAATAATAATCGTTGCCGATTAACAAATCGACCAACTTATTTTCTACCTTTTTTGAGATCGAGTCGGCGAGAGGTAACTGCTCATATAAAATACCGAATTTTTTAATATCGACTGGTGATTGCTGTATATTGCCTCTAATTTTTGGAACGACGTTAGCCGAGAGATTAAAGAAACGTCCGTCTAATAATTTTATTTTTAATTCTACCATTGACGTTTCCATTTTCGTCGGTTGAGTCGCGCCGAAAGTAAATACTGAAAGCGTCTCTTTCGATATCGTTTTCAATCCCAATTTATTCACCAGAGCTTCCGAAATATAACTGCGCTGACTCCCGCAATCGAGAATCAAACGCGCCGAAATACTATTTTTGTCGACCGTTGCATTTTGAACGATCGTCGTCGCAGTCTGCAGTAAAACATATTCGCCAGACGCTAATAATGAATTTTCCAAAGTTGCTTGCGTCGTCGTTGTTACTTCTTCTACATGATCGGTTGCTACGTACGCCGATTCCGTTTTTTCGTTCGACGCAAACTTCGATGGACATAAACTACGATGATGATCTTTTACCTTCTTGCAGTAAATACATCGCTGATCGCGTCGACATTCGCGGACCTGATGACCGCGTTTCAAACAGATGAAACAGCATCCTTTTATTTTCTTTTTCCTCGCCTCGATTGTAGCAAATGTCCGGCATTCATCCGACCAGTGCTTCCTCTCGCAATAAATACATTTTTGTTCGAGAACCTTTCCGCTGGCAGTCGTGAAAAGAGTTTCCGTCGTGGATCGATGAGGCGACGTCTTCGTCGATGTCTCGTTTTTTGATTCGTTTTTCGTTTTATTCGTTGACGAAGCTAATAATTGACGTTCGGCCGTTTCGCGCGCAGAAACAAAATATCGAAGACGTTCCCGCACCTTTTCGACATCCCAATTTTCATTTCCACGATTTTCCTCCAAATGGAAGACGACTTCTTTCGGTAGCTTCGACATAATCAACGAGCCAAAGTGTCGATGATTAATATCTTCGTCCAAAGCTTTGAGCGCGTGAAGATGACATTCAATCGCATCCACTACCCTTCGTAATTTATACGTTTGATCTGGCGCCGGTGCCAAATCCATCAAGGCCGAATAGTGAGCATTAATAACAGTCTGCGTTTGTCCGAACCGTTCTTTCAATAATCTGACCGCAATATCGTAAGTTTCATTCGTTAACGCAAGACCCATAATCGCATTTTTTGCTTCGCCGTCTAGTTGAGCTTTCAAATAATTCATTTTTTCAACCGGTTGTAATGACCGATTGTCGTGTACGGCTGACGAAAATGAATCCCAGAATTCCTGCCATTTCATAACGTCGCCGTTAAATTTAATCAAATCGAGTCGCGGTAATTTTACATTCGTTGACGTCGTTGAGCCAGTCTTTGTATTATGTATACTTTCCCGTTCGACTGCTAACTCTATGCTTTTTTCTTTCAATTTTAATTCGCCGTCGATCTGATACTTCCGATATCTCGCGTCCGTGTCGTCCTTTTGTTGCTTGCTAATTAATTCGATCGCCGTTGATATATCAGCTTTAATATCGTCGAAGGCGATGACGATTTCGCCGTGTTCATCAGCCTCGGTTTCTAATCGTTTACATTCGGCGTCGTCGTTAGTCGCTATATCTAATAATTTTTCCTTCATACCGAGATAGCTAGTATAGCTCTGTTCTAGTTTCATCCGGTATGCGATCAAAGTCTGCAAATGACCATCACGCTCAGCCTCTGCCGAAAATTTCGTTAACAATTTCGGTTTATCTTCCAATATATCTTTTAAACGCTTTTTAACCGGTCCTAACGATCGCCTAATCGGTCCTGCCATCTTCGTTTTGTTGAAATAATAACGTAAAAATTCAAAATTTCCGTAGTAATTAATCAAAGCAACTACTCGCTGCTACCACTTGTCGTAGAGGCAGTGGATAATCTACGACAGAAAATTCCTTCGTTTTAATAATCTGATAAATTGGTCCGTTTTCGTTTATTATCCTAACTTATATGTTTTTATATAACAACTTAACAAAAATACAATGATAACCTTTTTTTCTTTTCTATATCAAAACGAAAAACACACGCAGCCAATTTTATCAAAAAATGTGTACTTACTAGATAAAATTCTTTTTATATGTTCTTTTATTTTATATTCTCGAGCTGATCATCTATCTTCGTCTCGTCCATTTTTCTGCCTTATGTTAGAGACGCACAAAAGAATACTAAGAGCAAATAACATGGCGACATGCAACAGGCAGTTAAAAATACTAACGAAAATATAAAAACTGCCTATGATAAATTATGAAAGAATAAGCTCGCGACCTTTCGCGACAGGTCATACCCAAGCAAAATGGGATCTAGCTTAAGCTAGCTAAAGAGGAGCAATCAGCTAGCTCAAGCTAGGTAAATGTTCCTTTTAGCTAGCTTAAGCTAGATCCTATTTTGCTTGGGTACAAGCCATTCTAATTGAGCCTTCGGATACAATTATGCAGGTGAAAACGCAGCTCGAGAAATATTATCGTATTTCGTGTAATAAACAAACACTTATTGTGAACAATGATATTCTACAAGATTCGCAGTCTCTTTTAAGTTATAATATACATAATGAATCGTCGTTATTGTGGAAGATACGCTCTATCCGGCACACACGAATTGTTCGTATTGCCAACTATACAAAACTTAGATTCATCCGTCTGAAAATCCAATTCTGGTTCTCCATATATCATATTAAACTATGCCTACACTATAAGTATAAATATCCACCACCACCAATGCAACAACTCTTCTTTTCCAATTATGAACTGCAAGATAGTACACTGTTATACGATAGTCTGCCCTGTAATCCGTCATTCTATCTCGTCCACAAAGTGAAGAAAATGGCTGAAAAGATTCTTTTCCATGTCTGAATTGTTCTTCGCAGCAATATTTGTTAGAATAAATCGTTACAATTCCTTCTGTTCACTTATCCATCTGTCTCTTCAGTCTTGTGATCTTTTTTCGCTGGTTAATCGTATGAATGGCAATTAAGAACACGATTATTTGATATGTCAAGTAAGTGAATGATTTTTATTATAGATACAAAAGAATATGTGACCTGTCAGAATTGGCCAAGGGTCTATGAAGGGATAATGCTCCGTTTCTGGCGCTAATCGTAAGTAGTAACGCCTAGAAAATTAATTTGATATAATTTGATGTCGTTTTAAAATTTTTGCTATTTATTTTTAAAGAGACAGTACAGTAACAAAATTAGTGAAGAGAAAAGACTGAGCGCTTTCGAATTCTTTTTCAAAGTCTTGAAGTGTAGAGAACGAAGTGAAACGGTGAAGAAATGCTGATAAATCATGCCTTTATATAAGAAAATATCTATAGAAAATAGAATGCTAATCTATGCGGACGATCATATTTTTTGAATCTTATTAGAGAAGAAGACTATACAAATATCACTTTCTAATGAAGAAAAAAATTTTTTAGACTAATTTCTGAGCCTTATTAGACAATGAAGACCGTATAAATACCCTTTCCCAACGAAGAAGAAAAAGAAGAGAGAACATTTTTTCGAGTAATTTAGGATGAAGATAAATTTGCAAGCTCATTTTTACGAAATGGATATGAAAGAAAAATGGGAGAAAAAAGAAGAAAAAGACTATTTACACTTATACCGCTATGAACCTCAAGAAAGATTATTTGGATTCTTTCATCCTACTGGCGCGCATCTATGCACACATTAGTCCTTTTCATGTGATGTGTGCGCGGAGGGGGAGAGTGAGCATGAGAGTGAGCTCGCTACAATATCTCTTCCCGATCCGAATGAGTTTTTTGATGGTTCATGGTAGAGGTGAAGAATAATTAATTGTGGAATAAAAATAAGAATAGGTGGTGATGATTAACAATGATTGATAGTAGATGTTGGAGATCTAAATAGGAGATTTTATTAGTGTGCAGCGGACTGCACTCGTATCAAGGGTTTCGAAGGTTTTTTTCTAATCAGCATGTGTGTTAGGTTCTCGGACAATCTAGTGGCGAAGATCGGTTGGACATCTGCTAATGGTGTATCCTCAAATGCGTCGACCCATAATTGATAGAATTTTGCTCTAAAGTTCGCCAACGTTGGCAGAAATGTAAAGTGAACTAATAAGTCATTTTTAGCGTCTACCGTTTTTACTATTCTTGTTAGGGCCGTTCCAGTTAACTTCACGAACCTTTGCCCAGCAATATTCATATTTCATCTGTGTTTCATAAAGGGATTCTAAATTTCGTAATCTCATATCTTTCATTAGTCGATCAATGTTTTCATCAATAAACTTACCCGGGTATTGGTTCAACAGTAATCTCATCCGTATCTCAAATATCTCTTTTTTCAGATCGCGTACATCTGAACAAATTCTAATGACTCTAAGGACTGCAGAGTAAACAATATTTTGTTTGATGTGCATAGGGTGAGAGGATTCAAACGGCAGAACATATGGTTGCGCCGCTGGTTTCCTATGCACAACTGTTCTAAAGCGTTTACTGCCGAGTCTTTGATCACTCGAACATCTAGGTAGTTGATATTGTCACCTGTCTCAGGTGTAAACTTTATATTTGGGTCTTTATCATTCATATGTTGGAGAATCTCGAGCATCTCATAAACCGGTTTTTTGGTGGTTATGTAGATGTCATCTCGAAAACGAAAGTATAGCTCTTTTTCGCTTACTTGTATAGCCAACAGTTCTTGTTCCCAATTCTGCATGTAAACATCTGCTAAAATCTGCGTGACAGCGCTGCCCATCGCTCCTCCCTTAATTTGCTTATAGTATTGATCTTTTAGGATGAAAAATGAATTGTCTAGTACATGACGTAGCATTTTAGCAATAGTATCAATCGAAGTTTCTCCTATTTTTCGAATCTTATTTCTAGCTAAAAACCGAGTTATAGCTTGGAGGGACTCTCGCTGGAGGATCATAGTGTAGAGGTCTGTGATGTCAAAGGTGAACTGACGGGTCGCATCCGTGACTTCATACTGCTCAAGTAAGTCTAAAAATTTTAGTGAATTCTCTAACGTGTAATGCGATGTCTCTCTGTCAAAAATCGGTTGCAGTTTTTGGTATAAAAAAGAAGACAGTTTTGCTGTCGGTGATTTGATTCCACTTACTATCGGTCTTAATGGTTCGCCTATCTTGTGATCTTTTGGGTTGTAGTACAAATGAGGCAACTCGCAATCTTCCCGGGAGGGTTTTAGTCGCTCATATTGCCATTGAGATAATTGTTTCTTTCTGACTAACTCTCGTAGAAATAAATCAGTGTTGTGAATCATTTGCCTAATAGGGTTATAAGTAATTTTCTCGTAGGCATTAGTTTTCGTCATATACTCAGCAGATTTCTTATCATATGTCTCTGGTCTATCAAGGTGAAAAATTTTTGATTTGTCCGTTTTTTGGAAAATTACTGCTTGTTGTTTCTGTTGCCTTTTGAAGTAATCAATCGCTTTCTCAAAGTTTTTGTCGATCTTTTCACGGGAAATCCTATCATAAATTTCTTTCTTAACTCTAGTCGCAAATTTGTCTACCACTTGTCGGGGTATGTTTCGTGCGCGTATATTTTCATTAAATCTGAACTGTATCTTATCTCGCATGGCTTCTACTTCATATGACAGACGGCGAAGTGCCGTTTTAGGGTTGGGTTGAACATAAGCAGGACCTTTATTCAGTATTGATCTCTGGTATGCATTTAAGTTTAACGCATAATTTTTCACTTGGGGAGGAAACCCTATCGTGCTAACATGGGGATGGATATTACTACTACTACTCATTAACTTGGATTGATTTTTGAGGCTCTTTTTTCTAAAAATGTACTTTAATATTGGTTTTAGATTCTGAACGTTCCTTCTGGATCTCGACTATTCTATCTAAATAAATGGGTGAGAATGTTTTTCTCCCCATTGAGATAGGTTCTTATTAATGCTATCTTTTTGTCAATTTGCAATATCTCAAGATTTTTCGCTTTTATCATACATTGCGTAAGTTTCAGTTTTGCGTCACTCAATGCTGCGTCCCATTCTTCTCGAATAATCATTATCTCGGACTCATTTGGATCAACGGTTCTGCCGATTCTTGAATATATTGATTAATCGATTCTTCAGCTTCTAGCTGCTGGTCTTCTGGAAGGCATGGGATAACTAACATGTCTTTTAGTTTCCATCTAGCGGTATAAAAATGATGGTCTGCTCGGCGTTTTAATTTCGTAAAGTACATGAAGTGGCAATAGCTCCTTATTGACGCTTTGTACTGGAAGTGGCAAATGACGCACCTCGGGAAACTGACTTTATTTTGGCTCCACTACATTTTCAAGTGTCCGCCGGCCGTAGCTCATGAAAGAACTTGCTGAATTAGAGGGATCCCGTAGAGCCTTCCAACACGAAACGGCGATAATTGAAAAGCTTAACTTGACGAGGCACAGTAACTTTGCGTTGATCAGAGCAGAACAATCTTTCTCATCTCATTCAAGGGAGGAAATTACGGACGAACGGTGGCCAGAATCAGAACGTGATATGCCGTTTTGAGTGAGATATGAATAAGCATGAGATCTGTGGGCAATCCGGGTGCCACGGACGGAAACGATGAGAAAACGACAGAAAGCTTCGAATAGGAGGTGCGAGTTGGACGACTGCGTTGTCTTTCCATCATTTGCCCTGCTGCTTCTTTTATTCAATTTGAAACTGGATTGAAAATTTGATTTTTTTACACTCAAGCCCGAGTGAATTCATGCTGCGACTTTTACGTTGTGCCGCAGTGAGATCATATGAAAGAATATTTTTAAGGTAGACGATTTCATTCGTCTCACGCTCAACAGACACAT